GCCTCGGCCTCCCAAAGTGCTGGGATTACAGGCTTGAGCCACTGCGCCCGGCCTCTTTTTTTTTTTTTTTTTTTAATAGAGACGGGGCTTCACCATCTTGACCAGGCTGGTCTTGAACTCTTGGCCTCATAAGCCACCACGCCCAGCCTGCTTCATAATTTTTAACGGAATTAATAAAATAATACATTTATTTTCTGAAAGAAATACTTTGCTTTTCTCATTAAAGTATACAATGTTAAGTCCCTTAAAATTTCCTTCCCTTGCCAGGCGCGGTGGCTCAAGCCTGTAATCCCAGCACTTTGGGAGGCCGAGGCGGGTGGATCACAAGGTCAAGAGATCGAGACCATCCTGGTCAACACGGTGAAACCCCGTCTCTACTAAAAATACAAAAAATTAGCTGGGCATGGTGGCGCGTGCCTGTAATCCCAGCTACTCAGGAGGCTGAGGCAGGAGAATTGCCTGAACCCAGGAGGTTGCGGTGAGCCGAGATCACGCCATTGCACTCCAGCCTGGGTAACAAGAGCGAAACTCCATCCCAATAAAAATAAAAAAAAAATTTCCTGCCCTTATGTGAACACTGTGTTTGAGTAATTTCACTGGATTTTTCAAACAGTTTCAAAAACCAAGTGAGTAACTATAACATGGAAATTAAAGTTTGAGCCCAGTGATTCAGAGCTAAGGCTCATATTAAGCCTGCAAAAGGGCATTATTGAAGGTCCAGTTAGTTTTTTCTGGAGAACCTCCCCTGCAGATTCAGCCTGCTCACTCCAGTCACAGAAGAAGCCTTTCTGCTAAGAGAAGCTGCAGAGTCCTTAGCAGATGCAGTTAAGGTTAAGACAAAAGGGGATTGGTAGGGTCTTACTGAAGATGAAGTTATTTCTTTAAGGCAGTTGCTAGGCTTTGTAATCTGTAACAAAGTTACATTGAATTTCACACCGGGTTGTGGTGGCTCATACCTGTAAATTCCCGCACTTTGGCAGACCAAGGCAAGTAGATCACCTGAGGTCAGGAATTTGAGACCAGCCTGACTAATATGGTAAAACCCCCATCTCTCCTAAAAATATAAAAATTAGCTGGGTGTATTGGTGGGTGCCTGTAATACCAGCTGCTTGAGAGACTGAGACAGGAGAGATGCTTGAACATGGGAGACAGAGGTTGCAGTGAGCCAAGACGGTGTCACTGCACTCCAGCCTGGGCAACGTAGTAAGACTCCATCTCAAAAAGACAAAAAAAAAAAAAAAAAAAAAGCCAGAGCCTAGTGCAGTGGCTCAAGTCTGTAATCCCAGCACTTTGGGAGGCAGGCGGATCACCTGAGGTCAGTGTAAGGGTTATTGGCGAGTTTAAAATGAGGAAACTGTGGCCAGTATGAGAAAATTAAATGTCAGTTTATTCAGCTCCCAGGTGAGGTTCTCTGGTCCGGGGAAAGGGGGCCAGAGAAGTCGAGCTGACTTCCTGGGATGGGGGGCGGGGTGGGGGTTGGGGGGGTATTTATGGCTAGGAGGAAGGAGCAACAGCTGGGTGCTCTGATTGGGTCCAGGGGAGCAGTATCGAGACGGGGTGGGCCGCCATTGGTTGGCGGGTTGTTGGGCGGGTTTTCCGGTGCCAGAGCCGGCCAGGGTTACATTAGCCGGAGACTTCCCGGGAGCCATGTGGCAGAGCTAGGTGCCGAGTGCAGAGCCTGGTGCCCGGTGCAGAGTCAGGTGCTGAGTGCAGTGGTGGGTGTGTCCAGCCTCCGCGGGAGGCAACCAGATTTACAGTCAGGAGTTCAAAAACAGCCTGATATGTACAGTGAAACCTTGTCTCTATTAAAAATATAAAAATTAGGCCAGGCGCGGTGGCTCACGCTTGTAATCCCAGCACTTTGGGAGGCCGAGACGGGTGGATCACGAGGTCAAGAGATCGAGACCATCCTGGTCAACATGGAGAAACCCCGTCTCTACCAAAAATACAAAAATTAGCTGAGCATGGTGGCGCACGCCTGTAGTCCCAGCTACTCGGGAGGCTGAGGCAGGAGAATTGCTTGAACCCAGGAGGCGGAGGTTGCGGTGAGCCAAGATCGCGCCATTGCACTCCAGCCTGGGTAACAAGAGCGAAACTCCGTCTCAAAAAAAGATAAAATAAAATAAAAATAAAAATATAAAAATTAGCTGGGCAGGGTGGTGTGCGCCTGTAGTCCCAGGCACTCAGTAGGCTGAAACAGAAGAAATGCTTGAACTGGGAAGATGGAGGTCGCAGTGAGTGGAGATTGTGCCACTGCACTCCAGCCTGGCTGATAAAGCGAGATTCTGTCTCCTAAAAAACAAACAAAAAAAAGATTGAATTCAAAAGACGATTGAAACAGGAGGAATACCAGCTATATAAGCTTTAAGGAATGCAATTTTAGATAGGAAGGGCTTTTTTTTTTCTTTTCATAGAGCAGAGCCTATAAGATTAGAAAATGGAGAGTAATAGCATATGGGGGGTTAAAACATCAAATTTTAGACCAGAGACTATTTTACCCTGAGGTTAGCATGTTCTTAGGAGGGACATAGAATGAAGTTGTATAATGACTCAGATTGAGGATAGCTCAAAGTTCCGTAACCTGTGAAAAATTTCATTTAGACTACTGAAGACAAATACAGGTGACTTTTAATGAGAAAAGGAGGAAAATGTGCCAAGCTTTCACCAAAAAAGCACCTCAACCCTAACCCCAAGAGGGCATCCTTCAATTTCACTCAAGAAAGAATTCAGGGTGAGTACATAGAGTAAAATGAAATCAAGTCTATTAAGAAAGTAACAAAATAATAGCACTGATTACTCCATAGGCAGAACAGTCCAGAGGCCTTCCGGTTGCCCATTTTTTTTGTTATGCCAAACAGGGGGGAGGATTTTTTTTTTTTTTCTTTTGAGACTATGGGGTAACTTCCTGATGTTATCATGGCATTTGTAAACTCATGGCACTAGTGGGAGGGTAGCAGCAAGGATGGCCAGAGGTCACACTCAGGACCATCTTGGTTTTGTTGGGTGTTTTCCCACTTCTTCACTGCAAGCTATTTTGTCAGCCAGGTCTTCATGACCTGTATCCTGTGCAGACATTCTGTCTTATCCTGTAACTTACAATGCCTAACCATTTGGGAATTCAGCCCAGGAGGTCTCAGCCCTATTTTCCCAGCCCCTATTCAAAATGGATTTGCTCTGGTTCAATATACCTCTGATATTTCCCCCCTCTTTTGTACAAAAAACCCTTAATCATAAGGGTTGTAGAGGGATGAAGATTCATCATCTGTTAACTACTTCATGCTGAAGTTTTTAAATCATGGCATTTTATATGCCATGCAGAATTCTCACTATGAATTTATAATCTGCAATATTAAAAGTGGAAGATGTAGATACTCAAGATTCCTATTGGGGAAAAGCTGGGATTTTTGTAAAGATGGAGAACATATAATGTTGAGGTTTTATCTGTGTTTTCCATTAGCTCTGTGCAGAACAGGATTAAGAAAATGCTTATTTAAACAGAATGGCATTTATTAACCTGAAAGTTCTGAAAAAAATTATTGAGAGATACCTGCCTCTAGAATAATAAAGAAAGATTACTTTAAATTGTTATTTAAAATTACAGAACAGGCCGGGCATGGTGGCTAATGCCTTGGCACTTTGGAGGCCAAGGTGGGCTGATCACCTGAGGTCGGGAGTTCAAGACCAGTCTGACCAACATGGTGAAACCCTGTCTTTGAAAAAAAATAAAAAATATATAAAAATAAAATTGGCGGGGCGTGGTGGCTCAAGCCTGTAATCCCAGCACTTTGGGAGGCCGAGGCGGGTGGATCACAAGATCAAGAGATCGAGACCATCCTGGTCAACATGGTGAAACCCCGTCTCTACTAAAAATACAAAACATTAGCTGGGCATGGTGGCATGTGCCTGTAATCCCCGCTACTCATGAGGCTGAGGCAGGAGAATTGCCTGAACCCAGGAGGCGGAGGTTGCAGTGAGTCGAGATCGCGCCACTGCACTCCAGCCTGGGTAACAAGAGCGAAACTCCGTCTCAAAAAAATAAATAAATAAAATAAAATTACAGAACATAAAAGATATCTGCATCTTGACCTTTGCATAAAACTGATTTTTCTGTATGGTTAAATTCAGACTATAACTTACTTTTTAAGAAGCAATATCTCAGCAGTGATGCTGTGTTCTTCTGTGTGCATGAGCCCATCATAAAACTTTGTCCTTGTGCAGTTGATTTTAAAATTTACTTAAGGAGCTCTCTGAAATATTTATTTCATTATAGAGTTACTTTTTTTCCTCATTATTAAATATCTTTATATAGCTAAAGAAAAGCTGTGCATAAACTATCATATTTAATCTCTCAGCTGCATTTCTTTCTTAGGTTTTCTTTGTAGATCTCTGTCTTTGGAAAATGAAGTAGTTTGCTTACAGGTCAGAAAAACTGGGTAAAACATAGATTCTTCCACTTACTGGATGTTTGACAAAATATTCTTTTTAGGCCAAACACATTGGCATTACTAGTGAGCTTGTTAGAAATTCAGAAACTCAAACTTTATTTCAGATCTTCTGGGGGAAAAAAAAAACCTGCATAAGATCTCCAGTTTTGATTTTATGCATTAAAACTTAAGAGGTGCTGTCTAACTCAACGTGTCTTTTTTGTCTGAAATATTAACAACTCATTCTTTGTAATGCAAATATAGCATTAAAAATGTACATGTTTGTGTTTATGACTTTAGTTTTATACTTTAGTATTCATAGAAATATCATATATACACTAGTGTCGTTTATCTTATACCATTCTCTTCTCTCTGAGTTAGAGAATACATTAGAGAATATTTCTGTGGTAAAAATTGTTGGATAGGCCTGGTGTGGTGGCTCACGCCTGTAATCCAAGCAGTTTGGAGGCCAAGACAGGCAGATCACCTGAGGTTGGGAGTTCAAGACCAGCCCAACCAACATGGTGAAACCCCGTCTTTAAAAAAAAAAAAATTGTTGGATAATTTTAGTTATTCCTATAAGTCAGAAACAATTTGCTTTACTCTCATTTAACCTTAATTTAAGTGATAAATTTTGCCCATGGACACTTGTAAATGTGTGTGCGTGCGTGCATGTGTGCGTGTGCATGTGCGTGTGTGTGGGTGTCTTTCAAGAGCCATTGACATTTATGGATGTGGCCATAGAATTCTCTCTGGAGGCGTGGCAATGCCTGGACAATGCACAGCAGAATTTGTATAGAAAAGTGATGTTAGAGAACTACAGAAACCTGGTCTTCTTGGGTGAGAATAACTTAAATACACAATTCCTAATATACCCTAAAGGTTTCATTTCTTTATTTTTATAGAATAATTTTTGGTAATTTATGCTTTCCATAAATGAATTTTTTTTTATTTATTTTTGAGACAGAGTCTCACTCTGTCACCCAGGCTGGAGTGCAATGGCGCAATCTCGGCTCACTGCAACCTCCGCCTCCCAGGTTCAAGAGATTCTCCTGCCTCAGCCTCCTGAGTAGCTGGGATTACAGGTGCGTGCCACTGCGCCCGGCTAACTTTTGTATTTTTAGTAGAGACGGGGTTTCAACATTTTGGCCAGGCTGGTCTCAAACTCCTGACCTTGTGATCCACCTGCCTTGGCCTCCCAAAGTACTGGGATTACAGGTGTGAGCCACCGCGCCTGGCCGAATTTTTTTTTTTTGAGACGGAGTTTCGCTCTTGTTACCCAGGCTGGAGTGCAATGGCGCGATCTCGGCTCACCGCAACCTCCGCCTCCTGGGTTCAGGCAATTCTCCTGCCTCAGCCTCCCGAGCAGCTGGGACTACAGGCACGTGCCACCATGCCTAGCTAATTTTTTGTATTTTTAGTAGAGACAGGGTTTCACCATGTTGACCAGGATGGTCTCGATCTCTTGACCTCGTGATCCACCCGCCTCGGCCTCCCAAAGTGCTGGGATTACAGGCTTGAGCCACCGCGCCCGGCCCGAATTTTTTTTTTTTAAGATGGGGTTTCACCATCTTGGCCACGCTAGTCTTGAACTCCTGACCTCAGGTGATCCGCCTACCTTGGCCTTCCAAAGTGCTGGGATTACAGGCATGAGCCACCACACCCGGCCTCCATAAATGAATTTCTAATCCTTGTTTTCAAAATATCTTGAAGAATTGTCCATGTAGAAAAAATTTCTTCAAGGTGTTTTATCTTGGCCTGAACTTTTTACCTTCTGAGCTGATGTGTATCCTTCACTCTAGAGTAGTGGTAATTTCAGAAATTTAGTGATATAAAGTATTGTTGACCCTATGTTAAAATTTATTTGCCATCACTAATTTTTGACTCATGAGTACTGAGCAGTGAAATTAAGAACATACAAATTTAAAATGTTTTCTAAATGTTAAGAACTTTCTGTCATTAAATAGTATTTTGCAATTAATTTTCTGGAATATTCTATGATGTCCTCTTTACTAAGCACAGTACTAGGTTGGTAATTAGAGAATATGAGCAAGATTCATGTTCCTTATTTTTAATAAAGCAGGTATTGCTGTCTCTAAGGCAGATCTGATCACCTGTCTGCAGCAAGGAAAAGATCCCTGGAATATGAAAAGACACAGTATGGTAGCCAAGCCCCCAGGTAGGTGAGAATGAATATAACTGTTGACATAGTTGAAAGGTTGGAAGATTAAAAAGTAGTTTCTGGGAAGCCTGAGGTGTTTGTTTTGTTGCTGTTGTTCTCACATAGGGCCATGTTCCCTCTTATGCTTTTAAATTTTCTAAAGATTCTACTTTCCCTTCATTGATCTT